GTGGAAGACATGAGAGACATTTCGTACAACTTGTATATGTATCTTTTTCGTGTTCATGGAGTATATATTATATCTAAATGTCATATCCGTCCTTTTTTACACTTCGCATATTAAGCGAAAAGAAAATGTGTTTTAACATTATATATATAATATATATTTACTGTATACAATATAGTTGTACGAATATCTTATATCCCGATTAAACTGAGATAGAGAAAAAGATTATAAATATAAGACAGCCTAAAAAGAATGACCGTGTCCTCCCGATCAAATTGCAGCCGCATTGCAGAAATAAAACTTAACAGAGGTAGGATGAACTTAGAAAAGTAATAATAACATTTTTTCACGGCAGAAAGGGTAATGACACTGATATCACTGACACTTATGCACGAGCACTCGATTCAAGTTATGAATTCTCATTTTCAACACCAGGAGAAGAATGGACTCTTGTTCTGGAAGCGCTGGGTAAACGTGTCAGAGAATGAAAACAATCTAGGAGTGCCATTTCCTTTGGCCCTAGAGCAAAACAGGGCACAATATTTTATAACATTGCCATATTAGGCCAGTTGTCAGAGATGAAAATGATGGCGAAAAAGGAAGAAATTATTTACAGATATATTATTGTTTTAATCAACAGTTTGAGATATAAAAAGATTAAATTTAAAAGTGCTACAACATTGAGAGGAAGCATTTGGTAATAATTAAGCAATAAAGTTTTTTTTTTGGTTTTTCGATTAAAATTCGAAAACGAAAATAGATTTCGAAAAATGACAAGAGAGCTTTTTTGTTAATTATACTTTTTTATTAATTAATACTTTCAGAGATTCGAGCTCCAAAGTGGGCACTTTTTTGACAAAATTCGTCCATTTCGTATATTATCATTTGAAATGTTTTTTTTTCATATATATAATTAATAATTATTAAAATTAAATTAATAATTAACAAATCTAACATTAATAAAATAAAAATAAATTTTTACATCAATGATGCAATGTAATATTAAGAATGATCGCTTTACCTTTAGAGCTTGATATCTATGGAAATATTAATCGTGGGTATTGGGTTCAATTTAAGCTCATTTTTTCGATAAGATGTCTACTTTAATTATTTTATGTTATTTTTTATTCTCCGATGCATTTAAAACGACATAGAAGACAATAACTGAAAAAGTATCCTATTTTATAAAAGTAACCTATTTTTGCCATTTTTTCAAGAAATTTCATCTTCAAACTGCTGTATCCGATTCTATTCATAGTACAAAACTCGTTAAAAACTCATTTTGTAGGACATTTCAGCAACAAAAAAAGCTCTGGTGTCATTTTTCGATATCTCTTTTCGTTTTCGAGTTTTAATCGAAAAGTAAAAAAAAAATTTTATTGCTTAATTACTTCAAAGTGCCCTCCTTAATGTTGTAGCACTTTTAAATTTAGTCTTTTTATATCTCAAACTGTTGATTAAAACAATAAAGTATCTGTAAATAATTTCTTTCTTTTTAAAATCTCTAGCGACTGGTCTATATATCTAAAAATATAGAAGCAATAAAGTACGAAAATATATACTTTTCCACAATTACAGCCGGCATTTGTACCAATTGTACAGGGCTTTTGGCATCTTTCAGAGCTTGTTGTAGATTCAAAATTTGGCCGCGCATCACACTCATTTGTCTATCGAAGTGATGTCGGTCGAAGCCCTTATCTTGCTGCAGAAATAAACAAGCAATTATACTTGTGCGAAATTATTGTTGCATAAACAACAAACGGAATGCAATATACGCTTGTTCTTGTTTCGAATAATATATGCAGCATACTTTAAATAGTTGATACAAATCGTCGCAAAGATCTTGTACGAAATTCTGATCCGAGAGTTGCGGCAGGACTAGCTCTCTTGTAACTTCACTGAACGGCTGTTTCGCCTGAGTTAACCATGCCCAGTGATAAGGATATGCTCTCCATGAATCAGGATGTTTAAAGGGAAAAGCAAGGCCGTTATCGATCGCTGCAATCTTCACTTCACCTTGTTCAATTCCATTCTTGCTAACGCTAGTATCGTATTTAATCAACCAATTGTCATTCCCTATGAAATATCAATCGTGAAGAAATTCACATAATTAATGCTACTACAGACAAGCAATTTTAACGTTTACCTCTGTCTGTATTTCTGATGATATAATCTAGGATGACCAAACGCTCAAACTGAAGCTGGAATTCTCGACTCAAGTGCGCCGGCATGGACTCGCTTTCCCATCGCCTCAGCCAATAATCGGCGTCTTTGTAACCGTCTACAAAAACTTGGAAGGAACCAACTTTTGGCGGTAGACCAATACGATTAAAATGCGACCCCACTGTAGGGAACTGGTCCATGATGGCTTGCTTCATACGCGCCTTCTGACGATCCAGGCGAGGATAATTAAAAACCTCGCTAACGAGTTTCACCACTCTAGTGTTTGGTACAATACCGAGGCTCAGCTTTCGATCGACCAGGCTGGCACCTGCTTCGCTTAAGTACCCCTGATTTGGAATTAAGCAACTCCTGCCGAAACAGCACGGACAGCAGAGCTTGTGCATCCATTTTGTCCATTTTGGATTCAACCTACCATAAGGTTCTTCATCTTTCGGTTTGAACACACCTATAATTTTCTAACAAAACAGTACATTTCATGAATCATTTATGTATCATGTATGGAATCACATATCGCTATACTTTACTGAATCAGACAATATCACCTAACTTTCTTATATTGAGCTGATTAGAAGTTGGAGCTTACCCCCGCTGGATTTTTGACAAAATAACTCCCACTAGAACCTTGATATATCCTTTCTGGATAAACTCCATTGTCTATTGCACATTCAGCCTGCCACACCAGTTCCGAGAACTGTGGATCATCTATAAATATATATACGTCAAATGTAATTTTATGTGATTATGACAATTCTTAGAAGGTCACTAGATATTATGAATCATCAACAAGTATACACAGCTATGAAAGGCAATAGGACACCACTATATATTGCAGCTGAACGAACCTGGAAATCTATTAAACGTAACGTCGAGTTCCAAGCGACCAAGGAGAGGCTGGCTCTCCCGGTCGATCCCGGAGGAATCTATGGCTAAGGTTTGATCGTTGCTCAAACTAGGAATAAATTCGACGTCGGGAAGCAAGTCAGCCGGCGATGGCGGCTGATCGTTGTGCAACGACAGACGCTGATGGTGGCTGCTACTGCTGCTGTTGATGGGTGCGATGGACAGATCAACCAGCGCATCGGTCTCCACCAGAGCGGTAGCAGCGGCGGCGGCGGCGGCGGCGGCAGTAGCAGCTGCAGCGGTGGTAGCTGGGCTGCTGTTGTTCTGACTATGGTACTCTCGATAAGGCACGTGTAGTTGCCGTTGTTCGGAGTCGCTCATCACAGACTGCTCACTCTCGTGACAACGATCCCGCTCTGCGAGGATCTCTCAAAGCGAACCTCGCTCCGATTAATTCCTCCCGAGTTGACTCGGAGTCGGGTTTCTCTCTCCGAGCCGATGGACGATTATTACTCTTACGACATTACCACGTACTGCCTTCTACCTGTCAGCGACGCGCGCCCGTTCTCAGTTTCTCCCGGTTGCTACGGTTATACGTATACGTGCCAACGTGCGAGAAATACGTTAGCATCGTCGTCGATGCGTCATCCGGATCACACGTATTCTCACACACGTAACGTAGCGTAGGTAGGCCAAGCCAAGGCGCAGCTTGCTGTCGACGGCGAGGACGATGACAGATAGGTGAAGAGGGGAGACTTATTGCGATCTAACCCGATTAACCAAAATACAGCCCGTCATCCTAGCGGCGGATGCTATCAGCTGATAGGATTACCGCCATGTTTGTGTGACGCGTATGCATTTTCTCTTCTCTCCTTCTTTCTCTTATATGATCCGCTGGAATCTACCAGGATCTACTATAGTTATCGCCTTTTGTATTCACATTCGCTGCGACATGTGATCGATTCGATCTCGATCGGATTTAAATAACTGCGGTAGAATACACTCGCACTTTGGATTCGAGACTCGTTCGGAACTTTGGGAAGGTTATAACTGCTTATGCGATTTGTCTGTTATGCTGATAGCTAATTGTCCTTGTGTTCATTTTCGCTTTTTTTTTCTATGTAATAATAATGGAATAATATATCGTGTCTAAATCGTGCTTGTACAAGATTATTTTTAATGACTTCGAAATTTGTTTTAAACTGTTTTTGAGAGGTGTACCCCAAAAGCAAAACTGAGTAAGAGAGTGAGGGAGAGTAACACGTGTTCGACATGTGCGAAAAATTAAATGTATATAAGAAAGAGTATAGTGAAAGATATAAAAATAAAATTATGTACATAATGATAAGTTAATCGATAAATAAGCAGCGCATGTCACTGATCATAATGCATATAATAATGAATTTAAAAAAACATTTATTATAAAGTTAAGTATTCTTTTTGTGTGTAAAGAATGGAGAAAAAATAGGTTGCTTTTTACATTTTTAATTTCTAATGATAAATTATCTTAATTCCTCTCATTTATTTTATTTAATATGAAAATAAATATAATTCGAAAAATGCAGGGAAATTCAAAGAACATTTACAAAATCGTTATTGAAAATTGTTAGATATAAACTATGAGATATACATATCTTAAATGCATAATATTGGCCTATTTTTAATATTGCGTTTTGCGTCGTTTGTTATAAAACATGCAATTAGCTAAATATCGATATAGAAGTATGAAATAAATATATATGAAACAGTGTGATATATCACATATGTCTTATACTTAAATATAAATCAATGCTGTTAACAGTAAGTTTGAGCAATTAATAATGCCAAAATTTAAAAAAATTTACATTATTATCAATTTTTCTTTTTCCAATATTAGGATTATTCAATAAAATACTCAGTATCATGAATTTTTGTTAAACGCACATTCCACCAATTCTTAGTATTCAAGGATATATATATATATATATGCAATAGCAGCATCATGACGGACTTGAAAAAAGATTTCTCAATTTACTTGTTGGATGCTCCGTTTGTAAGGGACGTTTTCTCGGTGTCAGATTCAATCCTTCGTAGTTTATACTCGGGCTATGTGATATGTTTTCTGAAAGCATACAGAATCGTCATTGTTTTCGCCAAATAATAAGGATTTTAGGCATATCAAAAGTCGCAACAAACCTTTCCTAGAACGCTTCAAGTCTAATTTAGAGTGATGTAGCAATCGAGAATACAAAGGTGAAAGCGGCTTTCCTTTGAACAAGATTTGCTCACACTTAACTGAATGTACGCGAGGAGACAGCCATCCGCTCATATTGTTCCAAGACTTGCTCAAGTCCAACAAAGTTGCAGGTAGCTCACACAATGGACGATATTCTTGTTTGTACCTTTTAAATAAATGTTTGTATTTGCCTGAAATTTAATTCTTGTGACGTTCACTCTTAATTTCAAAATGATGTAATTTTAACGAACAATACCTTCCATTGGAGATGAACACAATCTCTCATAGAAAAGAGTATCATCCATATATTGATTAAAATTGAAATTAATTTTCGGAGATTGCAGTAAAAAATAGCGGTTTGCTATTAATATATTGCTCGTGTCGAAATCAATATTATTTATTTTTCGAGACCTACGTTGCTCATTTTTGCATATATTGTCTATTCTAGTGTTCAGTATGTTGAATAACGTTTGCAAAGATTTCATTCTTTTGCAAGCATTCTGAATGAACAGCAGACACTGCGATAGATCAGAGAGATTGTCGATGTTTTCATGATGTAATATTTTCTCAAATACTAAGTGTAGCAGCGATAGCAAATTGGAAAACACAATGAAGCCATTCGCATACAAATTGCGAATTAAATGCTTAAATTAAAAAAAAAAATTATTAACCGCAAAAATTGTATGTATGAAATTTTTATTCAATTACCTTCTCACATTGTGTATATAATAAATAATTATCGTAACAAATTTCAGGAAATTTGTTTGCTTCGATTGTCTCAGAATTCGAGTTTATTCTCAAGATAAGTTTGCATAAATGATTGCAAGATTTCTCTAATTCGTTCAATTCTTTATTTTTTCTATGTATATATTGGACTTTTTTGAAAATATCTCTTTTCCATACTGCACCGTGAAAAGAAATGTTATGAATTATTAATGACTGCATTCAGCAGAGAAAGCAGCTTTGTATTTTACTGTTGTAATCTATTATTGTAAGACATATGATTTGATATTGTAAGATATATGAACTTTAATATGATTTGTTTATATATTTAGATTCAGTGAGAAACTAAAAGCAAAATTAATCATATTAAAGAATTTTACAGGCTACAAAGCTGCTTTTTCTGTAAACAGCGCAGCTAATGAATAAATCACCAAGAAAATAATATTTATTATATACTAACAGTCTATAATGTTAGAATCTTCGACATCTATCAATCGCTTTTGAATTAATAAATTAGCTGGCAGATCGAACACTAGCTTTTTTATATTTTCTTTTCTGTCAAAAATCTCAGATTTATATGCATTCAATGTCTCGATCTCATCACTAAAATATATAATAATAATTATTATGTAAGTTGTATCACCATTAATTGTGAACAAATAATAGTGATTTACTTCAGAAAATTATTTGCAGCCTTCAGTGTTTTCTCCATTTTCTTATGAGTATCTGTCATAACGCTACATTTTTGTGCAATTGTGTTATTGAAGTATGTTATTATTAAACTCTGTATTGGACTTGTACATGGTGCGTTTAACAATTCTCCTTGAACTGAAGAAATCAATTTGGATAAATAATTGGTACAAAAATAAAATACCTTCTTTCTTATATTAACCATATATTACATATTTACATACGTTCCCTTTTTATATAAGTTTTAAGAGCGAGTTGTGATAATTTCCACATAATAATTTGAAACTTGATTCCTCCTGACTGAAATAAATGGCTTATTAATATCGATGGAAAGTCGAGATCAGGATTGTCTCGTGATACGAGGCACAAGAAGTTTTTCATTTCAACACGATATGTTGCTTCGTCTTTTTTGCATGAAATCGGCCATTTGACCATTTGTTTAAACAGCTTTGTATCATATATAGAGGATAAATAATGCGATACGTGTAGGAAACCCACTGTATTAGATTTGTTAAACATATCCTTAAAAAAATACTTGTATTTAATATGTATATATAAATATATAATAAATAATTTAGTGTTGAAATTAATATAATAAAGACTTATATTTATATATTTTTAAGAAATGTTTTTATACCTTTCTAAAGTGTTGTCGAAACTCGACTGATGGCGATATGACTTGTGAAAGTAAAGATACATTTTTGTAGAATGATGAATTAATGACTGTAATGATTTGAATTTCTTTTAATTTACTCATTACATACATATGACTTCAATTAGCCTGTTTCATCCGTGGTATTTATTTATACTATATGGTATTTATGCTATAAAGAATGTTAAATCTACACAAATACATAATTGTTTAAAATATTTTGTTATAATGTTTGTATACGTGCAAAGATATGGTCGTCGCGCCACTCGCGCCGTACTTTGTAATTGAACTATTTGCACTTTTCTGCACTTTTCTTGCACTCTTCGTCTTTCTTTCTCAGTAAGTCTGTTTACGTTGCTTGCACTTTTTGCACTCAGAATATCAGAATCTCCACTTTCTCTCTCTTCAATGCACGAAAATATTTATTTATTTTTCTCTTTAAATGCAAAAATTTTTGGAGATTTCAAATAACACGAATAGACCTAAAATATCTTATTAATTTTGGAACACAACGGTGACGTTTTGAGATACGGTGGCGATCTCTTGTGTGGCGTAGATGAAATGAAATTTGACAACCGCATGGACGACGACGAAAATAAAAACGTAAGAATTCTAAACAACAATAAGAAGATATGATTGATGAGAAAGCCAAAAGAAATGAGATCAGATATAAATGATAAGAGATAATTATGCATCAGAACAATAAATTAAAGATACCTCTGTAAAAAAAATCAGAATTGAACAAAAACATTTTTCGGTTTATCAAACAGCAGAGAAATGTTTATAGTCACGAAAGAGATCGACAGTGAGAACATCAGCAAATTGTGCCGCACATGCTTGCGGGAAGACGGCGATAAAATGGTATGCTTGTTTGTGGGACCAGCTGGTTCCTCACTCGCCGCTAAATTACGATCTCTCTCTTGTTTGGAAGTAAGCAGCACATTTGTTTTATCTTGAATTTAATGAAAGTTCCTCAAAGATTAAGCTTGTATTTTGTGTGAATATTTCTAGGTCTGGCAAGGAGACGGCTTGCCTGAAAAGATGTGCGACCGTTGTGTGACCAGAGCGGAATCAGCTCTTTTGTATCGAGAGCAATGTCGCGCTGCTGACAGGGCTT